ACTAGTGCTTATCCTGGCATGTTGTCAACTTGGTTTTTTAGTAGACTCTGTAATGTTTCTGTTTGGATGTGTGTGGATATCCGGACAGGTCCGTCCTCCAAGCTGGCCACCATGTTCCCTGAATTTGGCAGTGCCTGTTGCTTGCAGCTCTCGGCTTCCTGAAAACCCAGAGGCGCCTCCAACAGGGTCGGCTCTGCGCCCCGGCAGGTGGAACGTCCTGGTGGGCTCCTGTCTGGCTCTGATGTTGAGGAAGAGGTCGTGTGTGCATGTGTGCGTGTGTGTGCGTGTGTGTGTGTGTCGAGTTACTTATTTTTTTTGGAAGCTTTTTGTTTTTTGTTTTTTTTTTACGAAAAATGACCCTTGGGTCACTAATACAGAGTTGAGCCCGTGTAGTCGCTATAAAACGGATTCCATGTTCTCACACCACTCGTGGTCTTCCAGGTTATAGATAAACTTTGTCCTATGGGTCTGGTTTGGGGGCACAGGGTCCCTCCCCAGATTGTCTAGGGTCAGAGTAGAGGCAAAGAACTCACTGGTGCTCAGCCCGCCCTCGTGGTTTTTGATGTAGCGCGAGTAGTTCTTCCGCAGGCACTGCCACGTGGTGGTGTACAGGACGAAGGCGAAGGACTTCAGCGCGATGGCGATGCTGACGTACAGGTGTCTGTAGGCCACGTTGTCGTACAGGACGCAGGCGCCCTGCTCGCCGCAGAAGGCGCTCCAGAACAGGCAGGTGGAGTCGATGCCGGCCCCGAAGATGAGGGGTGGGGGGATGAAGCCTGTGGGGGAGAGCATATGTCAGGGGGCAGCTCTGGGGGCTGCGCAGAAACCCTCCCTCAGGGCTGCAGGGCCAGCAGGGAGCAGGCCCTTTGGGAGGTCGAATCACTGGAGCTGAAGCCCAGGTCTCTTGACTACACAAACCTGCAGGTGTGGTTGAAGCCCCTGGGCCTCGGTTTCCATGTGTGCAAAGTGGGGTGCTGCCCGTTCTTACCAGAGGGCTGTGAGGAGTAATGAGTGAGGAGGTGCAAAGCTTTAAGAACCGTGCCTGGAGCATGGTTAGCACTGAGTGAGTGACCTCCAGTGTCACTGTTGTAACTGCGATCCTCATCTGCTTGGGTTTGAGGGGGAAAGAGAAGTCGTCCCCAAAGGGGGGCTGCTTACCATCAAAGAGCACCCCGCCCAGGAAAAAGGGAAAGGCGTGGGGCTGATCTCTTACAGGAGCTGCTAGGGCTGTGCGCGGCTCGGGTTGTGGTGGGGAGCAGAAGGTGAAGGGCCCTGACAGCTCCTCTGCCCCTCGGTGTCACCTGGGGCTAGACTGCTTTTCATTCCGAGCCAGGAAAAGGCTTAAAAAGCCTCAGGTTAGAGTGTTCAAAAGGGCCAGAGTTGGAAACTCCTCCACGCTCTGTCCCTGCTACTGTGTTTCTGTCCTCCTAGCCCTGGCTGCAGGGCCCTCGTCCTGGCTGCACCTTGCTGTCATCTGGGGCGGTGAGTCAGAGCTCTCGGCACGTGGCCTGGCCCTCAGCGTTGCTGAAACACAGGCTCTTGGGTGGCTCTGGCCTGTGGGGGACAACGTGCCGTCTATGGGAGAGCAGTGACTGGGTGGGAATCAAGTGCTTCACAGAAATGGTCCCCAAGGCCAGAATGGGGTGCCTTTACCTGCAGGGAGCCCTCAGGAGGAGGACGTGATGGCTGGAGTGGATGTTGACTGTTCTGAGATCCAGGCCCAGCTAGGAGGAATATTCATTTGAGGGTCAGCCCTGGAGTGTCTTTTGTTTTTTATTAAGGATGGGCCCTCTGAAAATGGGATGCAATATAGACCCTTAGTCCAGAAGAATACATCTACCCAGAAAATTGCACACACATTCCAGGGGTTGGAAGACCCCTCGAGTCCATGGCCGTCTGCCAGAGTAGGGAACACTGCACGAATCTGACCGTAGTTAGGAGGGAGGAGAAGGCTCAGCGACACGCCTGGATCAGGGAGACGGCTGCATCGCACTGCAGACCAGCCCAGCAGAGCCTCCGGCCACGCCTCTGTCCTTAGCCTGCTCTGTGCTTGCTACCCAGAGAGCGGCCCTGGGGGGATTTTAGTGGAATCCTCTCCAGACCTCCCGAGCCCCACACAGCCTGCTCCTCCTCTGCAGCTCCCAGGTCAGGTTGGTCTTGCAGAATCAGAAAACTGGGTGAGTCCCCCCAGTTTCCCCACCCCAGCTTTGTCCTCATTTAACTGAAATGAGAGCCAAGTAGAGGGACTGCCCTCCCGTGGTGGTTAAGGACACAGACCTGGAGCCAGTTTTAATTTCGGGCAGACGCCGGGAGAGGGACCCTTGATCACCGCGTCCATTCACCTCTCTGTGGCCCCAGGTTTTCTCAGGTTGTGGGTAGCTCCAAATGCTCCCCCTCACCCATTCTCCAGTGGTCACTCCGCTCTGTCCTTGTGCAATGGGGAGAAAGGCAATGCCCCCCCCGCCCCCAACCCCAGCACAAGATCTGCATGGGGCTCTGGGGATTGTCTGGTGCCTGGGAGCCATGTGCCATCCACAGCAGGCACTTGTTGAAACCAAAAATAGCCTCTGAAAATGCCAAGTACCTGAATCTGGGGCTGAAATGGAGCTGGCTATTAGGAGGGGTATATTTCTGCGAGCTGGCAGCGTCTATTTCACCCTGCCTACTGTCATTCTGTCACCAGCTGCAAAGTCCCCCAAAGAGCCACAGCGAGGAGAAAGCCCAGGGCCTAGCAGAGTTCCTCACGCTCTATTCGGTGTCCATTCCGGAAGGCATGTGTGCGAGACATAAGGAGCCGAAAGCCTTCGGGCACGTCGCTTGATCTCTAAAACGGAGGCGTCCAGCCTGCTGGTCAGGGTCAAGGTGAGCCTGTCTGCAAACAAGGTGTCACCCGAGGGTCAGACCCTCCCACAGCATCAGGCCTGCTGCTGCCTTATCTGTGTTAACCCAGAGGATTCGGGGGACAGGTAGATACTCAACCCACAGTTACTGTCACTATTATCCCTTTCGGTGTCTTTACTGCCAAATTCGCAGCTTCCCATTTATTGACTTAAAATTCCTTCCCCAGTTCTAGCTATTGGGTCCTGAATTTGACATGGGCAGAGACTGCCAGTGGTGCCATTCTAGAACTCACCTGGCTCGTGGAGGTGGGTGCAGCAGGCCCTTCCTGGTAGTTCTCATACACAGCCCACCCCCTTATGTTTATCACCCACTGGAACCCAAGAAAATTCCAGGCAGTCCCTGTGTGGGTGCTGGTGCCCAGTGGGAGACCTCATGTGACTGTACCCCTTTGTGGTAACACCCTGTCTGGCTGCACATCACAATCCTCTCTGTAATCCCATAACCCCCTTCTCTCTGTAATCCCATAACCCCCTTATATATTTTTTTGTAAGCAGAGGTTTATGTGTATTTTTAATCATTGGTTTAATGTAAATGAGTTCTAGCTTCCTTGTTGAAGGGACTCATTTCAACTGATGTTTCCAACACGTTTCTTAGACCTGGTCTCATAAGGTGGGGGGGGAAGGGAAGGAGGGGAGACAGACAAGGGAAGGGGGAGACAGACAAGGGAGGAACGGGGTGGGGGACACACAGGAAGGAAGAGCGAACATGACTGACACCACTAAGGGGAGCAGAGGGCAAGAGGAGAGGCCCCCTGCACCTTGCGTGGCTTGGCTCCCTTGGCCGGGTCTCGAACTCAGGCCGTCAGGCCGTAGCAGCACCGCAGCACTGAGCCTTAACCCGCTCGGCCACCGGGGAGGCCCTTCTCACCCTCTGGCTTTAAGGCTACTCGTACTTCTCCGGAGGGAGCGCGTCTGCTCTGGTGATGATGCGCTCATGGAAACGCCTCTGAAACTGGGCCTCTGCAGGTGCAGCCCATGTCCTGAGAGGGCAGCGAGGGGTCAACCACGCGGTCTGGCATCCGCTCATCGGGAGCCTGCGCTCAAGCGGGCCTCGAGTTTACAGTCCGCGTGGCCCGTCGCCGCCGCCACGGGCGGGTGCTGACATGCACGGCGGCTCCCGTCTGGGGGCGCCGACTCGCGCGTCTAGCCAGGAACGGCCGTCCAGTCTCCCTTCCGTGGCAGGGCCCGGAGGCGAGCGTGGACGCCTTGCAGCGACCCCACAGAAAGTCTCCAGCGCCACGATGCCGAGATTGTGCAGGGAAGCTCCTGGGAGGGCCCCAGAGAGCTGTCCGAGGGCGTCCAGAAGCGGGAGGAAAGCTGGAGGCTCCTTTTAGAGTTTGAGGTGCCGCCTGGCCCATCTCACCTTGGCCAAGAATTCCCAAGACGCTCACTCAGGTCCATGCCATCCTGATGCAGCCGGAAGGGCCCTTCAGGGAGTCCTCATGCAAGGCCTTCCAGTCTGGGGTGCGGCTGCTGTATCTCCCCGCAGCCCCTCGCTCTGTCCTCTGCTCCCAAGGGTGCCGGGTTCAGGCTGAGTCGGGGAGCCCCGCTGAGCAGAGAAGGAGCTTCACTCTGGGGGTTTCTACCTGCGGCGGGGCCCGGGCTCCCGGCCTCTCTAGGGCCGCCCCTCGCGCGCGTCCTCAGCGTCAGCGGCGCCCGCACCTCATAATCCTATAACCACCTTATTTTACACAGAGAAACTGGCGGTGAGGGAGATTATTTATCTTGATATTTCATAACCCTCAAACCCAATCATCTCTTCCTACTCATTGCAAAGTGTGTTGATTTTAGAGCTCTCAGGGATTTCCAGGGTCACAGAGAACATCTTATTTACCCTTCTGCTGAGTTCCCGGGATACTGGCTCGCGGGAGCGTGGGAGGGAGCCGCGGAGAGGGAGGCACAGGGGCTTCGCTCTCTGCTCTTGGCAAAGCTCAGAGTCCTCCCTTCTCTGGTGCTTGGCACGGAGAGGGCTGGAGGCAGCAGGACACCCAGCAGGTGGGCAGGCACTTGGCAGGAGGGGGGCGGGCTCTCCCCTGCAGGTCACTAGGTGGGGGGAGGAAGCATGGATTCGGGATTCCGACTCTGCCCCTGGGGCCCTGGCAAGCTACCCATGTTTACTGAGCCTCAGTCTCATTGTTTAGGAAGTGGGCACAATAAGGCCTGCTTGGCTGAGTTTTTGTACGGGTTTAATGAGCCTGCACTTGTAAAGGCCGCTGCTATGGTGGCTCCAGCGAAGCTGGCTCCCGGCCGGCTCTCTCAGCTTTCCTTTGGAGAAGTGAAAATTGGCCCGCTTTGAAATCACCATCTCCAGAGAGAGCTGCAGACAGCGAGAGCTGCAGACAGCGAGAGCTGCAGACAGCCTGCAGGCCGAGATCCAGCAGGAGCACCAACAGGCAGCGGTCCTTCACATGGTAAGGTCCAGTCCGTTTTGGGGGGATCAGCTGCCTCTGCAAAGGAGGCCCAGCAGGCCCAGCGCAGAGCATCTGTCCAAGGTCACACCCTGGCTGCCGAGGAAGGAGCAGCAGGTGTGTGTGTGTGTGGGGGGGGGCGGGGAATATGGAGATAGTGTGGCTACGTCCTCACTGTGCTGGAAAAGACCAGCCTTCTCCGGGGAGCTTGCAGGAGTAGCCCCCTATTCTCTCCATGTCTGTGGGGGGGAAATCATGGACTGAGAAGGCAGTATCTCAGGTCCCGCCACTGGGGTGGGTCTCCTGGGGCTCAGTTTAGGCTGGGGTGTGCCAGTACAGAGAATATTAAAAGGATTAAATCTGACTTCCTATTCCATTTGGGCTCAAACCGCAGCTATATATTTTTCAGTGCAAAAACTGCAGCACCACTGAAGGAAATTGCCTCTGTTTTCCTGAAATCTATTAACAGAGATTAAACCTCAGGGCCTTGTATTTTGGCTATTTAATTCACTCTCCTGGTGGAAAAGGCCACGCCTATTTATATTCTTGGGTCTAAACTTAAAGGCTTTTGTAAGAAAAATGAATTCACATTCCTTTATGGGACAGAAACAGGAGCTGAAAATTACGCCGTCATTTACATTTCAAAAGAGCCCTTCCTCCCGGCCTGCCTGCCAAGACTGGAATTCACACTGGAATCGCTATTCAAGCTGGTGCAGGGGCTGTTCTGTCCAGCATGAGAGGGGGCTCACAGGAGAACAAGGATGTTCTCCTGAAAAGATTAATGAGTTTCTCGGCTTTGGCGATGCCAAGGAGGAGACTGGATGGTTGACACGGGCCAGCACACGCTGCTGACAGCTGACAGTCACTTTTCTTGACTCCCAGAAGCTGGTAGGGAGCTCCTCTGTTCTCACTTCATTCCTGCGCACCTTGTTCAAGTTGCAAAGGCTCAAAGCCAGGGTGCTAGGCCGTGAAGCCCTGGCAAATGGTTCCCCCTCAGTGTAGGTGAAGTTGAGCTGGCCAGCGCGTTTTGGGAGGGCAGCACTTCACTGGGGCCTAATAAATGGCTGCCCAATAAGTAAACAAATGCACGGGGGTGGGGGGGGTGGGGGTGGGGGTGGGGGGGTGGGTAGGGGCTCCAGGCACCCAGCCATGGTGCTCCACTCCCTACCACCCAAGGCTGCTGTCCGCCGCCTCCCGAGCATTCATTGTGTTCATGTCTCCCTCTTGCCCATAGAGCTGCTTCCTGATGCTTCACAGGACATGCTCAACCAACACTTGAGCCTCATCAGCAGCTTCAGATGTACTTCTAGAGGAATCCACCGGTACCGGGGCCCAAGGACGGCTGCTCAAGAATACTACCTGTTCCTGCCACCTGTACCTGGCTCCCAGGCTGCACCTGAGGCTGGTGTTCCCCGTGCTCCTTGCTAGCAGGTCGTTCTGGAAGGTTGTGCCCAGCCCATCCCTCCCAGAGGTATCTCAATGGCCTGTTAGTTTTCGCCACCTCTGGTGTCTACACAGCCCAGTCCTGGGGTGGGGGCGGGGGCAGGTCCTCAGCTCTATCTTGGGCTGTGCGTCTCTGCTTTCATCCAGACGGTACAGAGCTTGCATAGACGCTGATCCACAACACGGTTTCTCTTTCTCTTCATCCCACTGCTCTACCCTCAGGCAGCTCCTCACTTGACTTGTCCTGCGGAACCGCCTTGTACCTGCCTCCCAGGCTGCTCTTTCTAGATCAAAATTCTGAATGCATGTCCACTCTCCCGTCTCAAACCAGCATCGGCTATTTCTGCATGTCCTACACGCCTCCCAGACTCGCTTCAATCTCCTCCTGGGCCCCTGAAGGCAGGAGCTGGCTCCTGCTTGCTTGTACAGCCCTGGTGGTGTCTATAGCAGCGCCTTGAACACAGCAGGCCCTGGGATCAGGCCCTGAGGCAGGTGGGGGCCCCCACCCAGCGTGGAATCTGGGGGTAACCTGATTACACCAGGGCCCCTGCAGAGCAGGGCTCATCCAGTTCACTCTGAATTTACCCACCTGCGGGGACCTTTCTCCTCACTGCCCCAGGTGACGCGCACTTCAAGGACAGGTGACCCATGCCTGGCCACTCACTGCTTATGCCGCCCTGGCATTGTCAGCTCCACCCCTGTAAGTGCAACAGCTCTGGTGGCAGATTCCAGTTCTCTTTACTACATCGTAGTAAAGATGTGGCTCCCCCACCTCTTCCTACCAGCCGGGTAAGTCACTTCAGCCCCACTCTGACAGCCTCGATTCTTTGCTCCACACACCTTGCTCTGCACCTGCTATCCATTCCGTGTTCATTCACTCCAGGGCTGCTGGGCTCTCACCTCCTCAGCCCTGCAGCCCCGGCCCTTTCTACCAGCTCCTTTCCGTGGCGTGGAAAGCAACAGGGAAAACAGTCTCGAGTTAGCTTCTGAGTTCTGCCCCCTTCCTTGCTCCTCTCAGCCAAGTGTCTGGAAGGAACCGTCTCCTCATGCTGACCCCGCTACCTTGTGCTCGGCCCTCCCCACCCTCACTCCAGTGACAGGTGCTTCCACGAACATCAATCAGTCAGGTTACAGGAGTCACATTTGAAGTGCTTGGTAGCCACACGGGGGCAGGGGCGGACATTTCCATCATCATCCCAGCCATCGCTGGTTTATGCCTTAGTCCTCATCAGGATCTCCCTCTTTGAATAAGTATCTGAGGGGCAAGAATCCTGTGACAGATCTTGCAACAGGCCCAAGCCTGTTGCAAGATCTGTCACAGGATTCTTGCCCCTCAGATACTCCAGCCTGCACCCTCCGTGCAGACACCCACCCTGAAGGCTCTCCCTCCTCAGTGTTTCTCCTACCTCGGCAGCTGCCAACCGCCCAGGCCTCCATCAGTGGCTTAGTAGTGAGTCCCCACGTGGCAGACGACGGCCTTGTCATGCCACTAGTGACCTTCATTTGCCTTAGACCTGAAGGTCACACCTGCCATTATTAACACAGCGGCCCTTTCTGGCCGCGTTCCTGACAAGCTGCCCTCTCCAGCCCTACCTTTACACCCCCACCCTGCATCCCGTCCCACCAAGCACACCCTCTGCTCCTTGCTCCTCATGCCTCGGGCAGGACCCACATCCTTTCTACCCCATACACCTGCTTCCATCTGCGGTCAGGCTAGGCGGCTCCTCCGCCCGTGTCCCCTGAACCATGCTGGAGCCATCCCAGCTCTCTACATAGTGACATTCCCCACCATAGTCCCATCAACCAACCGCTTTTCATCAAAAGATGGCGCCATGTCCTACCCTTCTAGAGCAGTTTTCCAGACTCCGATCAGTCACTGATCATCCAAACAGGAGTAGGTCAGCACCAACTTTTTAAAAAGCAGGACGAGAACCGAAACTGAACCCATCATGGATATTAGGGGTGAATCCCTGCTCATGAAGTTTTTGTTTCAGCTCTTCTACCCACGTGCATGTGTGTGCTGGGCCACAAGGTGAGCCTCCGCGGCAGCCCTGGCTCACCGTCCAGAGCCGAAGACCAGTCTGGGGCTGCTCCTGGGCGGGCGACAGTGCTTTAAAGCGATACTGTATAATCTTAATGCCTTACAGTGCCCAGTAGTTTTCAGAGAAAAAAAAAACTTGTAAATGTTTTTTCATTTTGTGCTAATAAAATTATTCAAAACATATGTTCACAATTTTTACCAGCTATGTATCGAATCCTTAGCACTTATTTAGAGGTGCAGGCTGGGACTCCCTGGGGGCTCCACCGTCCCAGGCCTGCTCCCAGGAGCAGAGTAGGGCTCACTTACCTGGTGCCTGGACCCACACACACAGACAGTGAGCTGAAGGTGTGCGCGCAGTGGTTTCACTGTTTTCAGAAAGAAGGGCCTCTAACTGCTGCCACCTGGTATTACAATCCACCCCCGCCCCCAAATGAGGCTCAGTATTGCGGGGTGGGGAGGGGCATCACAATAAATGCATAGTCTGCCTTCCCAGTGCAAAGGGAAAAAAGAACTATAGCTCTGTGACTGTCAAGTTCTTTTGGGAAGGCCAAAATATTTTGGCTTGAATTACTGAGGAACCTGGTATCTTCACATAGACACCATCTCACTTTATCATGAACTAGAAGAGAGACCAACGTACCCACAAACCTGCACTGATACTGGCTGGGAGGAGTTGTTTCAGGTGGGGCACAAATGATCACAGCGACTGACTGGCACTTACTCGCTCTCAGCGGAGGAGGGACGTGAAGAGGGGTCATGCCACTCCCCATGGAGGGCAGCCTATGGCCATTCCATATCATTTCTATAGGAATTAATCTCATAATACATTTTTTTCAAGAATATGTTTATACCCTCTTTAAAGATAATAGCTGCCACCATTTTCAAGTTCCATTTGCCAAGATTTTTCCCTGTTTATGCATATTTTCAAAACATCTGAGTATATAGTATATTTTAAGTCCTTGTCCTAGTCTATCAATATTTTTCTTCCCAGGATTTTAAAGGGAAACAAATCCTGGGATTATAGACCACAATGCATGTATCTAATACTTTTCTGTTGGAAAGTTGGATTGTTGCCGATTTTTCACTTTTAAAACATTTCCGTAAACATTTCTATATAGCTCGGTCTTTGTGCTCATCCATGGTTAAAAACTTGGAATGAAGAATTTAATCTTCACTCTGAAAGTATGAGCCACAGTTATTTCCCTTTGCACATTCATGTACCACTAACATCTGTTTAAGTCCAGTGACCTGCTATTCAAGGAAAAATGCTGACCCACCTTGGTCTTGACAAAGGGATGCTCATAAACCAATCGAGGGAGTGAGGGGCATGATGGGGGCAGGGTCACCTGGCTGGCCTTTGCAACTTTGCCCCATGTGGGTCAGCTCCCTGGCAGGACTGCATGATGGCTGAGCCATTCCCAACCTCTGCTTCCCTGGCTTTAAATTGAGGGGCTGGACTTTATTCCTTCTGTCAACACATGCCACAGCATGCAGGTTCTGAGGCTCGAGGGCCCCACGGCTCCATTCTGGAGCCCCAGGTGAATAAACTACCTCCATTTGGGAAAACAAAGTCCAGAGTGTCCATATAGGCACTATTGTGAGACGCCCTCCCTCTCCCAGGGGGTGGCCCTGTAAATGAAGCATCTCACCAGCTGCTGAGGGAGGGAGCTGGGTGACACCAATAAAGTCTTTTCCCTTTAGTGCCATCACTTTCTTCCCTAAGCTGATGAGAAATCAGGGTGGAAGCAAGACAAAATTGCAGAGACGCAAGCTTCGCAATACCCAGGGAGTGCCGAGCTTAGGTCTAAACCCCGAGTGAAATTTTCAGACGTGACAACTCTCTTGTTTACCAAGAATTAAATGTCACAGAAGAAAAAAGGCAAACCCAAGAAATGGGACAATTTTTGCTGCTATTTACTCACCTGGTTATAAATAAGCATCCAATTCATTATTGAGGCAATAAAGTGAATACGTACCCAACAGACGGAGGAGGAGAAAAAGAACTCCCAGGGCGTAAGACTTGAGCTCTGGGCTGACGGTCCTGCGTGCAGAGAGACAGGAAAAAGAAAAGGATCCTTATCACCCGCTTTAATTAACAGACCCCAGAGCCACTGCAGCTGCCCATCAAGACACCTCCTTTAGAAAATGACGAATGGTTTTGGTTTTTCCCCCTGCCCTCCCTGCCTAAAATCTAAAAAATAACTCCAACTGCATTGGAAAGATAAGTTTTAGAATTTAACAGTGTGTTTTAATAACTGGAGCTAATCTTGTCACTCGAAGGACCAAATGCAGACGTGGCCTGTACAGTCTTTATTTAAAGGTATTTTGCCTTTGCTGGGACAAGGACAGGCCAGAGGTGTGGGGGTGAGAGGACTCACTAGAAACAGTGGGGAACAGAACAGGCAGATTGACTGAAATACACTGCTGAGGGGAGCAGCGGGCGAGACAGGAGACGTCTGCTGCCCCATGTGGGTCAGCTCCCTGGCTGGGAATCGAACTCAGGCTGTAGTGCTGATAGTGCTGAAACAACCCCTGGGCCACCAGGCAGGCCCAGGGGTGCCTCTTAAGTGATTGGCCTCAGCAAGGGAAACCATCCTTGTGTGCCCAAGGAACCAGAACCATGACCCCTGTCTCTATCTTGAAACAACCCATTTATCTTCATCCACTATCAGCACTTTCTCCACTGAAAAAAGTACCTTCATGTAATCACAGTTCTTTGTCTTGAACTGACTCAATCTCCTTGTCTTTAGTTTATCCACCACAGACCCTTTAGAATGATCTTTCTGCACATTTTCGAGAACATTCTCTGGGCTGGGAGTGATGGTAGAGGGAGGTTTGGAAATGACCAATTCCCACTCCACGTAGAAGGGGCCTACGGCTGATGAGCAGGGGGACAGCTAGTCCTCAGGACCCCTGTCCATGGAGTTGGTAGCTGCCGTTCTCTTCTGTCCACTGACAGCACCGGGTTCAGGTCTCAGTAGGCAGGCATCTCGGTAGAGAGAGCCAGAAGACACTGTCAAGCCAAAGGATGTGGCTGTGGTCGTCACCATTTTGGCCCTATTGATATGCACATTTCTTCCTCACTATAAAGAGCATGATGTAGGCAACCTGGCACAGGTGGAGACTTGCAGAAACCACCCTCTGGCTGATGAGATCAGTGTTTCCCCACAGAAATGGGCTCAGATTCTTCAGAATGTGCATGTTATAAAACCCTAGTTCTTCAAAGCGATCCACACCATGGTTCCAGTTTCTGCACACTCATTTCAAGGTACTGAATTGAAATATGCATAAAGAGAGGTAAACTCCCCCTAGCAAGAAGACACACTGGCAAAATGAGCTTGAATATTCATCACTTGAATTTGATGTCCTGGGAATAACAGCAACAAGACACTAAGATCTGCCGCTGATCCTGCTGGGAAACAGGTTCCCACAGGAGGAACAATCCTCCTCAGATGGAGTTATGGAGAAATGGGGGGTTCAGTCTGATTATTATTAAAAATTCAGGGCAAGGTCGGGGTGGAGGCGTACATGCTACAGCTTACTTCCTCTCTCTCTGGGCCTCTGCCTCCCCATCTGTAGAAGCAGGTGCTGATAAGGATGTAAGGGCCAGGGGCCTCCCTGGTGGCACAGGGGTTAAGAGCAGCACTGTGAAGCTGTCCGCAGCCTCAGCAGCACGAGTTCCAGCCCCAGCCAGGGAGCTACCCCCATGGTGCAGCAGGCCTCTCCTGACTCATCTGCT